AAATTAATAGTGGAAACAGTGTAGTAAAAACAATACAGAACCCCAATTTACAAAACCAATATACATTACTTTACGGTACACTAAGGAGACTACAGTACACGAATACAGGAGGACAAACTACAGTAAGTACGAGAAGATATAAGCAGGAAAAGATCACAAATTTTCTTCTTTCTCCTTAGTTCCTGCAACTGTCCAGGCCGATAGGCCCTCTCGACGCGTTGCCGCAACCGCCCAGCGCTCTGCTCGTGACAGTCCAGGCAGCGCGCCCTGGGCTTGATTTCACGAGCAGGAGCTCGATCCATCAAATCCAGTACTGGGCGGTCCGGGCAGCGCGCATCGCATTCACTGAATAGCTTGAATCACTTCATTCTGCAGCGCGCGCACGCCCCCGATTAATAACCGGAATGCAGCCGCGGGTACAACCGCTTCGCCCGTATTCGTCCAAGCATTCATCGCGACGACGACGTGCACCTGCACCGTCAACCTATTCCCATTCCTCTACTGCTCCTCCTGAAATACGAAATAGCAGAATAGAAGGATTGGTCTTAAGTGCCATATGTGTCGGAGGGCATTTTACGATGCAGTCAGTGTTTCATTCCTTAGCTGTAAACACACAGACTGAGCAATGCATTTCATTTATATGCCAGAGCTACTAAAAACTACGAGCAAAACCCTGGTACAAAAACAGCCCCCCTCCCCCCCCGCCACGCACAACTCCGCTACACCACAAAGCCACATGCTACCCCCCGCACATCCAGCACGTTATGAACAGCGTGGAACCTATTGCATTGCACATTCCATGTTGGCCCGGTTAAAGTTTCGCAATGCAACAACACAATCCAACGGGACGAGGCAACCACTAAAACTCGGCTCGGCTCGACCTCAGGGGATTGCGAAAACTTCTTCTGCTGTTCGGCAGGGGTTGGTTATCTCCCGGTGGGCCGGGTGTCGTAAATTTAGGGTACCCACTGTGGCATCATCGGTATTTTTACCAGTTTCAGGATACTCGTAGTAACGTCCCTAGGATTTTTTCCAATTTCAAGGTACCCGTAAATTCTGGGGTACCCAAAATTTTGATGCTTTTGGGATTTTTGCCGAGTCCAGGACACTCGTAAATTTCAGGGTACCTACAGTTTTGGTGTTCTTGGGATTTTTGCCATTTTCAGAGTACCCATAAATTCTGGGGTACCCACAATGGCGTCTCTGGTATTTCTGCCAATTTCAGGGTACCCGTAGATTCTCGGGTACCCATAGTAGCGTCCTCGGGATTTTTGCCAGTTTCAGGGTACCCGTAAATTTCAGGGGTCCTCGCAGCTTTGGTGTCCCTGGTATTTCTGCCTTCAGTAGGTTTAGTTAAATTTCAGGGGCTGCCATAATCATGCCGGAATTGCCATTTTTGGATCCGGACGAGCAACGTGTGGAGGTTTTCCTCACGCAGCTCATGCAGATCAATTCAACGACCGGCAACGAAGGTCTGAGTTTCTTTCGTCGTTTCTAGTTGTCACCTATCAGTAAATGACACATTTGCCTGAAAAAACGAGTGATAACTGATGTTTTTTGCACCTGAGCATAAAAAGCGCATTTTTTCTTTTGCTTTTGAATTTCGCTTTTCGCTATTGCACCTTTTTTTTCTTTCACATATCCGTCTTGCAAATTAGTTACATGTCCTTCCAATAAATGGCTGGTAGGAGGCTGCTGTACTGACGATTCCCACTGTTACCCACATACACTTTCCAGTCTATGTTTACAGCTAAGGGATGAAACACACACAGAGAGACACAGCATCGTAAAATATCACCTTACTACTACTGCATCTAAACGATGAAAGGCAGTTTGCACCGTAAAATATCACCTTACACATGAGACGCCTGAGTACACACTCCTTCTGGTCTATTATTTTTGGTTGTTTCAGGCTCAAATGATCTTAAAAAGTGCACGAATTCAGAGACGCAAAACCAACTTCCCCCAGTTTGATCGCTTACACCATTTAAGCTCTC